AAAAAGGGGTGGTGAGGGAGAGTCTCCCCCCAAAAAAAAAAAAAAAAAAAAAAGTTTGATTGCTCTGAATTGGTTTAGGGTAGGCTGAATTTAACTATGAATGGGATGTCATTTTTTTTCTTTGGTATTAAAGACTAAATGGAATTTTTGTATTGTTTGTATGTGAAAGGGACTGAGGGCTGAATTATTCTCCAGAACAAAGGGAAGGTTATTTTATATGACTGGCATTTGTGTAGACAGAGGGACCCAGAGGTTGACAATATTACAGAGAGTCTGGACTATGTGACCAATAAAAACGGTCATCCACAAATGCCCAGGGACAAGGATGGTGGTGGACATTTAGAGGGGGAGCGACTTACCATTGTACTCTTATACCTTCTACTCTGGAATCGATGGAACACGCATGTTTTTCCAAACGTCAATAAATTTATGTTACCTGTGAAAATCTGGTGCTGTGTCAACTTAGGAAATGAAGATGAGGGCCTGAGTTCCCACTTTGTGACAATGCCAGGTGGGAAGGAGGGGACTACCACCAGAGCGAGTGATAATATCAGAACAGGACGTGACGAAGAGAATTCCCAGAGGCAGAGTGAACTGCAGAAAGCTTTGACCAGGCGTGTGGCTCCAGCTAACCAATGTACTGCCTCTGTACTTCCAAGTCCGATGTAAAGGTCAGTGGAAAACCACAGTAACCAGAGAGAGGCTGGACTACTGAGGGCTCAGATCCTTCCAGAACGAACTGAGGGCTCAGATCCTTCCAGAACGAAGGTGTGTCTATCCCACAGGCAAAGAGTTCTGACCAGCGATGGTTGTGGCTGAGGGTAAAAAGATGTGACATGGGAAGCGGAAGAAAGAAATATTTATTTTTTTGAGAGGTTTTTGCTACAGTGCTCGTGCACTTGCCACAAAGACAGAGAGAGACAGAGAGACAGAAAGCGAGAAATCACCCCCCAGGCGGGGTGGCCACACCGCAATCCCTTCTCCTCCATTCTCTCAGGATCTTGGCACGCACGCACACGCGCGTGGTGTGAGTTTTAAGCCATCATATCTGGGACGCAAACCGCAGCATGGTCAATTACATGGGAGTCCAGCGATATAGCCATTATGCCACCTGCTGGTCCCCCAAGAAGAAAAAATCTGTTAAAAATTAAAGAAAAATTATAGGAGGCCCTTGTCTTGAACTAAGCTCTTGTTCTAGGCCCCAACAGGCCAGACCAAAGTGAGATCACTTATGCTAAAATGCCATTAAAGTAAAGGTTAGAAAAAAATTTTTTTGAGAGATTTTTGCTTTAGGGCACATATATTCACCAGAGAGACAGAAAACAAGTAATCACCCTCTCGGGCGGATGTGCATGCCACATCCCCTTCTTCTCCATTATCCTCCTGAGATTTTGAGCACATATGCACACACACCTGGCATGTTTCTAACTGCGGGGTTCGGGATTTGAACCTCGGTTGGCCACATGGGAGTCCAGTGGTCCAGTGTCTTAACCACTATGCCACCTGCTGGCCCCTAACTAAAACTTTAAGAAAGCTGATAGGTTCCTTTTTCTTCCCGTAAGTACAGGAAAGGACTTTATCCTGATATTTCTTTCTTTCTTTCTTTCTTTTTTTTTTTTGGAGAGGTTTTTGCTACAGGACGCGTGTACTTGCTAGAAAGACAGAGAGAGACAGAGAGACAGAAAGTGAGCAATCACCCCCCAGGGGGGATGGCCACGCCGCAATCCCTTCTCCTCCATTCTCTTCTCGGGATCTTGGGCACACACGTACACGCACCTGGCGTGAGTTTTAAGCCACCGGGTCTGGGACTCGAACCGTGGTCGACTACATGGGAGTCCAGCGACATAGCCATTATGCTAACTGCTGGTCCCAATCCTGATATTTCTTTATTGGGCTGTAAACCAGGCTGGCAAGAGAAAATTGCCTTTGATTCTGTCCCTGAGGTTTCATTAAACTGATATCATAGGAAGGAGGAACATCAACCTACTTGGACAAAGTCTCTCATAACCTATCATCTCCCAAGCCCATCCAGCTTGCAAAGAGAATTGATTACTTTGAGCATCAAACCCATCCTGCCTTCCTAAAGGTAATTTTACAATGTGTCAGACGTACTAACTGCCACACTTACCCAAGATGACTGGGATCATCCTGCTCCTCTTTTTTAGCCGAACTCTGCTGCACACGGATCCTCAGCACAGCGCTGATGGGATCCTCCTCCCCATTCATGGATTTTGCCCTTAAAACCATCCTGAGTTCAGAGCTCAGCGCACAAGAGTTAGGGCAACTTGGATAGTGTGGTGTCTGGGCGATTGTCTTTGCCCTGGCCCAAATAAAATCTTGCTTTACTTATTTTGCCTCAGCTTTTATTATTATTATTTTTTTAGGTTAATAAAGACATAGACTTCAGTTCTGGCCTTGTGACCAGTTACAGAAACAAGGCCTGTATAGCTTTGCATGTTTCATCTTTTATCAAGTGAATGTGTTTATTTGTATGAACCGTTTTCTTCTCTTTTTACACCTGTGATTTTATATAGAAATTGTTACAGGATAATTGTTGTGATTAAAGACTATGATTATGGTCTATAGGGCACAGCACAGTGAATATGGCTGAGACTGACTATGAAGGGTTAATAATGCACAGTTTTGGATAATGACTGAGACTGTGAAAGGCGGTCAGCTGGAAATGAGCAGCTGACCCTAAGGAAATAGAAGAGGGCCATCGGCCACATCAGTCACAACTTATCAGGGGTTACACCCAGACCCTCCATGAAACGGCTTCTTCCCGCCCAGCTCTTGACACCAGAAGGCCAGGCAGATGGACGGTTGTCAATTTCCCTCTTATCATTCCTCATAAATACAAAAGGACGACACAAGACGTTTTTGTCAGCACCCTGATCCCCACTGGGGCAATAAACTGATGGGGCAGCTCATCCAGATAAGGACGCTCGGACCTTCTGCGTCCACACTGAGCAGGCGGGATCAGGTCGCTGACTTCCTCCCCTGTGAGAGACGCCAGCTCAGGAGAAAGCTGGTAAATTCAAAGAAGCCGGATACTGTGACAGACCTCCCCTTAATACTCATCTTCACCTCTTGGAATAAATGTGACCCCTGACCCCAGCCCGTGGCAGTTGTCCC